GAGGAAAGCTCATGATGTTCTTCAGACGGTGATGGCAAGGCTTGAGGATGAGTTTAAGCAGCTTCTTGTTGAGAACAGGCTGCCTTTTGAGATCGAACACGGTTCGTTTCGGTCAGATCTTTGGGGAAGTAAACGAGTTTGGTTTAACATGTTTTGTCGATACAGTGAAGGCTGCTGTGATGCGGTTACTTAATTTCGGTGAAGCTGTGTCTCTTGGTCCACGGAAACCTGAGAAGTTGCTTAGGATTCTTGAAATGTATGAGTTAGTATCTGAGCTTTTACCAGAGATCGATGCACTCTTCTTGGATCAACTTGGTTCAACGGTTAGAACTGAGTACAGAGAAGTGATGAGGAGGCTTGGAGACTGTGCAAGAGCAACGTTTCTTGAATTCANTTTACCAGAGATCGATGCACTCTTCTTGGATCAACTTGGTTCAACGGTTAGAACTGAGTACAGAGAAGTGATGAGGAGGCTTGGAGACTGTGCAAGAGCAACGTTTCTTGAATTCAAGAGACATGAACATACACATGCATCCAAAAACATGTAATTTTAATTAGTTTGGTCTTTGGTTTGTTCTCTTTGTACACTTACAACCCCTTGTGTTTTGCAATTAAACAAGTCACATGTGAATGATTTATGGATCCACTAGATTAAAATAGCTTGATTTGGTTATTGAATAGAATATGATAAGACCAAATTAGGTAATCTTCATTACATTTGATGTGTATACATAGCTTTCTACAAGCAACACTCATGCTGGTTACAAAAATCAGAAGCCAGCAACACTCATGCTTGTTACTTATTAGTATTCTTTCTTGTAGACTTACAAAGAAGTCTAATTGACAGAGAAAAATATAACATAAGTCTATCACAGTAGACAACATCCAAAGCAACAATATAGTTTATAAGTTCAACACACACTAAAGACCTACAAATCCAATAGAAGACAACTCAAAGCAATGAGACACTAATACATAATAGAACATCCATAGCAATAAGACAACTCATAAGTTCAACACATAACACTAACACATCTAGAGTTTTTCACCACCCATTCTCTGTATACAACGAGTAATTGAGTCATCTCCTGCAAAAAAAAAAATACGGTTTACATAATTAGCAAACCAAAATTTCATGTTTAATAAAATTATATCATAGACTTACAAGTACGTCTACAAGTTTTAAGCTAACAACATAGACAAACAAAAAATTTGATAACTTCCTAATTATAACAGATTATCTTCTGAAAATCATTCAAGACACTTATGATTAATTAACACACACTTTCATAAAAAAATTTTTTGAAAAAACTTAATGAATAATACACAAATCCACTTTTGATAGATTTTACAAGGTAGACTACATATTCAGTCTACAGACGGGTAGACGTTTTATTCAGTTTACATTTTGTAGACTGCAAATTCGGTCTACTTTTAGGTTGGTTTTTGCAATTGCCAAATTCACGGGTTACTTTCTGTATTTGAAAAAAAGATGTGATTTTATACGAGTAGACTTACTTTTTAGTCTACATTTTTAAAAATGTTAGTTTTGCAATTGACCAGAATTCGTTCAGAGTTTGACTTTTAGAAGTAGACTTTCTATGCAGTCTACATTTTTAAATTTGTTTGAAAGATGTTAGTTTTGCAATTGACCAAAGTTGACTTTCTACTAGTAGACAAAACTAAATGTCTACGTAACTGTAGACTGCAGTAAAAGTCTACATTATAACCCGACAGGTTAGTTTTGCAATTGACCAACATAACATAGTAGACTTCATATGCAGTCTACTTTTTTTTCCTTAAGTTTTGTAGACTGCATATGAAGTCTACACGTAAAGTAAGTTTTAGTCAGCTTCTAAATAGTTTAGTCAAATACAAAAGAAACCTATTCAACGAAGTCAAAGTTTTGGTCAAATGCAAAACTGGCATTCCGTAGACTTACCTAGCAGTCTACAAAGTGTAGACTTCCAAGAAAGTCTACAATGGTAAGTCAAAATTTTGGTCAAATGCAAATCTAACCTCTTTTATGTAGATTTCTTAGTAAGTCTACCAATTTTTTTGTTTTTGGTTTCAAAGGTAAAGACGTTGACGTACTTGTAGGTCTACATTACAAAAAAAATTATTTTGGTCAGTTGCAAAAGTAACCTGTGCGTTGACAAGTAGACTGCATCGTAAGTCTACACGTAAGTGTAGACATATAATACAGTCTACTTTCGCGATACAGATCAGAGATATGACGAAAAGCATGTAAATAGTTACTTTGACACCGGTTTAAAGCTTGTTTCCAAGCTTTTCCACCGTCCAGAATCCAAATATGAGCAAAAGAAGCAACCTTTACAATTCACTTGTGAATAAAATAGAAACTATGAAGTTTGTGTTAATGAAAATGAGAGTTATGAGGATTGTTTAGATGAAAATAGAGAGGAAATGAAGTATTGTTTGTTTAGAAAGTGAAATAAGTGGTTGAAAATTCATAAACACAAGCTTAAAGAGCTCATCAATGGTGGTTGCAAATATTGAAGAGAATAGCATTGTGGTAAATAAGGAGAAATGTTTAGGGTGTAATAGGTTTTTTATAATTTTTGAAAATAATATCAGATTTAATAATAATGGAAATTTGGTAAATAGGTAGAAACATGAGGAGAGTTTAGGTTTTTTAAGAGTGAATAGTAATGACAAAAAAAAGAGGTTGGTTTTGTGTTTGACTTGAATTTTTGGGTTGGTTTTGCAAAACCCGTAATTAATTACCTACCATTTTGTATTATGTATATAGATATATTTAAAGATATATATAAATAAAATATCTCTGAATTTTTTGATCAAAAAAAAATATATCTCTGAATTCAAGAAATAAACGTATAAAAAAGATTTATATTTCGTGTTAAATTCAATCAACTATAATCTTAAAAATTAAATTTTAATTAATATCAAGGTAAAAGAATAATATCAAAAATAAAATAAATAAATATATAATTTACAAAAATAATAATAACAGAATAATGAAAGTTGTTATAAGAACATTGTGAAAAGTTGTTATAAGAACATTGTGAAAGTTAGTGTAACTTAAGTAAAAATAGATTAATTTTTTTAAAAAAATTTCATTAAATTTTTTTTAATGATAAAATAAATATTTGATTATTGTATCCTTATAGTTGTAAAAAAAAGAAAATTTCATACTGACTTAAAAAGCTTAATTATGTTTTTAGTACTAATACAAAAATAAAATGTATATTTCAAGAGGTTAAGAGAGACTTAATATAAAATAACTCAACAAGAAACAAATAATAAGTGAAACTAGATGAATTTACAAAACAAACCAACTAAAAAAATATACAACGACATAATAAAAATAGAACATAACTTCATTCAAACAATTACAACAGTTGTATTAAAAAACTTAGTTAATTTAACGAAATCGAAGTTGAATTTTCTCACAAAAAAATAATATGATAAAAATATTTAAAAGGTAGACCCTACTTTTAAACCTATCAAGTAAAATAGAGGAAACTCAGCTCCAAAAGAACATAAACCGTCGTCACATAAGCCGTCAACGCGAAAACAGAAAGACTACTCAAAGTAGGATCAGTCATAAATTAAAACACGTGTAAGTGAAGGCACACGTTTATAGGAAGTTTAGTCCCGTCTTTCCAATTTTAGAATTAAAAATGGAGAATAAAATTAAAGTAAACTAAAAATTTGAAGATAAGAAAATTGAGAATACGCAACTATACTTACAAAACAATTACCAACTGAGTTTTTTTTTGCTAAAATACCAAATCCCGCGCGAAGCGCGGGCTTCCCCTAGTTTAATATGAAACATATGAAATATTAAGTTTATTGAGAAAGGAAAAATACAAAATAAGATAGAGAAAAAATGTCAGACACAAACAAATTTAAACAAGAACTACTTTTGACATATTCAAGAAATCATTTTTAGCAGATAAGATGAATATTTAGAGGTTGATCGTTTGTGGTTTTTGTTTTTCTAAAAACCAAATTTTTTTTTATCAAGTTTAAGTTTTTAGTTTTAGTTTTTGTAAAAACCATTTTGTTTGCTAATTAAGTTTTTAAACAAATAGGTTACTTAAAATTTAAGGAAACTAGTTTTTTTAAATTTTAACTAATTTGTGAAGAAAAGCTAAGGTGATGATTGTTTGAATAAGGGTCCGACTGGTTTCCCCGCTACCACCCGCAAACGCAGCTTTTACGGTTGATGGCGGTTGCTAGCGTTTTGCAACAATCACAAGAACCGCTACAAATCGCTTCAAACCGCTCCCAACCTCTTAAAATCAAAAGCTGGTTTCAGCTAGCGTTTGCGTTTGCGGGCGATTGCGGGTGGGTAAAAAAACTATTTTTCTTTTAAATTTAAATTAAAATATAAAAATAAAAATAATATAACTAAAATTATATCTACCTTTTATTTTTTTAATTTAAATTCACTAAAAATATCATAATCTATTATAAAAACTTTAAATCAAGAATTTTCACTATATTTTTCAATATTAAATATATAAATATATAAATATATAAATATATATATAAAAATAGATAAATATATAAATATACATATATAAATAGATAAATAAATAAATATATAAATACATAAATATATAAATATATAAATATATAAATATATAAATATATAAATATATAAATATATAAATATATAAATATATAAATATATAAATATATAAATATATAAATATATAA